AAGGGCTGTTAATAGGAGTACTCTAAAACACACCTGACCTCTCTAGGACATTCAAAAGAAAAGTTATAAGCCCACAAAGGTGTAACTGGACTACTTCTTTAAAGTGACACCAGGTCCGGTGACCTTTGGGACAATGGTTTGACCCCCTTAGGAATGTGCTATCATCATGAAACGTTCAGATCACTTACAACTCAATAGATTGTACCTTCCTGTAACGTTTCAGCCTGATTGGACCTTGTTTTCACACAAATGGACCCAGAATGATGTGAAATTGTGCTTCGTGCAACATAATTCTGGGTGCCATTAAATAACCATAAGTGCTAATGACTCCATTCCTTTTTGGGGTTATAGGGGCTGTTAATTGGAGTACTCTAAAACAAACCTGACCTCTCTAGGACATTCAGAAGAAAAGTTATAAGCCCACAAAGGTGTGTTTGGAACCCTGCCTTTAAGGAACAAGTGATCCGGTGACCTTTATGACCTAACTTGACCCCCTTAGGAATGTGCTATCATCATGAAACACAGGAATCATTTACAACTCAATAGATTCTACTTTTCTGTGATGTGTCAGCCTGATTGAAGCTTTTTTCTGAGAAATGGACCCGGAATGATGTGAAATTGTGCTTTGTGCGACATAATTCTGGGTGCCATTTAATAACCATAAGTGCTAATGACTCCATTCCTTTTTGGAGTTAAAGGGGCTGTTAATAGGAGTACTGTAAAACACACCTGGCCTCTCTAGGACATTCAAAAGAAAAGTTATAGGCCCACAAAGGTGTAACTGGACTACTTCTTTAAAGTGACACCAGTCCCGGTAACCTTTGGGACATGGTTTGACCGCCTTAGGAATGTTCTATCATCATGAAACATTCAGATCACTTACAACTCAATAGATTCTACCTTCCTGTAACGTTTCGGCCTGATTGGACCTTGTTTTCAAACAAATGGACCCAGAATGATGTGAAATTGTGTTCGTGCAACATAATTCTGGGTGCCATTTAAAAGCCATAAGTGCTAATGACTCCATTCCTTTTTGGGGTAATAGGGGCTTTTGATCGGAGTACCCTAAAACAAACCTGACCTCTCTGAGACATTCAGAAGCCAAGTTATAAGCCCCCAAAGGTGTGTTTAGAACGCCGCCTTTAAGGAACAAGTGATCCGGTGACCTTTATGACCTAACTTGACCCCCTTAGGAATGTGCTATCATCATGAAACACAGGAATCATTTACAACTCAATAGATTCTACTTTTCTGTGACGTTTCAGCCTGATTGAAGCTTTTTTCTGAGAAATGGACCCAGAATGATGTGAATTTGTGCTTTGTGCGACATAAATCTGGGTGCCATTTAATAACCATAAGGGCTAATGACTCCATTCCTTTTTGGGTTTATAGGGGCTGTTAATTGGAATACGCTAAAAGAAACGTGACCTCTCTAGGACATTCAGAAGAAAAGTTATAAGCCCACAAAGGTGTAACTGGACTACTTCTTTAAAGTGACACCAGGTCCGGTGACCTTTGGGACAATGGTTTGACCCCCTTAGGAATGTGCTATCATCATGAAACGTTCAGATCACTTACAACTCAATAGATTGTACCTTCCTGTAACGTTTCAGCCTGATTGGACCTTGTTTTCACACAAATGGACCCAGAATGATGTGAAATTGTGCTTCGTGCAACATAATTCTGGGTGCCATTAAATAACCATAAGTGCTAATGACTCCATTCCTTTTTGGGGTTATAGGGGCTGTTAATTGGAGTACTCTAAAACAAACCTGACCTCTCTAGGACATTCAGAAGAAAAGTTATAAGCCCACAAAGGTGTGTTTGGAACCCTGCCTTTAAGGAACAAGTGATCCGGTGACCTTTATGACCTAACTTGACCCCCTTAGGAATGTGCTATCATCATGAAACACAGGAATCATTTACAACTCAATAGATTCTACTTTTCTGTGATGTGTCAGCCTGATTGAAGCTTTTTTCTGAGAAATGGACCCGGAATGATGTGAAATTGTGCTTTGTGCGACATAATTCTGGGTGCCATTTAATAACCATAAGTGCTAATGACTCCATTCCTTTTTGGAGTTAAAGGGGCTGTTAATAGGAGTACTGTAAAACACACCTGGCCTCTCTAGGACATTCAAAAGAAAAGTTATAGGCCCACAAAGGTGTAACTGGACTACTTCTTTAAAGTGACACCAGTCCCGGTAACCTTTGGGACATGGTTTGACCGCCTTAGGAATGTTCTATCATCATGAAACATTCAGATCACTTACAACTCAATAGATTCTACCTTCCTGTAACGTTTCGGCCTGATTGGACCTTGTTTTCAAACAAATGGACCCAGAATGATGTGAAATTGTGTTCGTGCAACATAATTCTGGGTGCCATTTAAAAGCCATAAGTGCTAATGACTCCATTCCTTTTTGGGGTAATAGGGGCTTTTGATCGGAGTACCCTAAAACAAACCTGACCTCTCTGAGACATTCAGAAGCCAAGTTATAAGCCCCCAAAGGTGTGTTTAGAACGCCGCCTTTAAGGAACAAGTGATCCGGTGACCTTTATGACCTAACTTGACCCCCTTAGGAATGTGCTATCATCATGAAACACAGGAATCATTTACAACTCAATAGATTCTACTTTTCTGTGACGTTTCAGCCTGATTGAAGCTTTTTTCTGAGAAATGGACCCAGAATGATGTGAATTTGTGCTTTGTGCGACATAAATCTGGGTGCCATTTAATAACCATAAGGGCTAATGACTCCATTCCTTTTTGGGTTTATAGGGGCTGTTAATTGGAATACGCTAAAAGAAACGTGACCTCTCTAGGACATTCAGAAGAAAAGTTATAAGCCCACAAAGGTGTAACTGGACTACTTCTTTAAAGTGACACCAGGTCCGGTGACCTTTGGGACAATGGTTTGACCCCCTTAGGAATGTGCTATCATCATGAAACGTTCAGATCACTTACAACTCAATAGATTGTACCTTCCTGTAACGTTTCAGCCTGATTGGACCTTGTTTTCACACAAATGGACCCAGAATGATGTGAAATTGTGCTTCGTGCAACATAATTCTGGGTGCCATTAAATAACCATAAGTGCTAATGACTCCATTCCTTTTTGGGGTTATAGGGGCTGTTAATTGGAGTACTCTAAAACAAACCTGACCTCTCTAGGACATTCAGAAGAAAAGTTATAAGCCCACAAAGGTGTGTTTGGAACCCTGCCTTTAAGGAACAAGTGATCCGGTGACCTTTATGACCTAACTTGACCCCCTTAGGAATGTGCTATCATCATGAAACACAGGAATCATTTACAACTCAATAGATTCTACTTTTCTGTGATGTGTCAGCCTGATTGAAGCTTTTTTCTGAGAAATGGACCCGGAATGATGTGAAATTGTGCTTTGTGCGACATAATTCTGGGTGCCATTTAATAACCATAAGTGCTAATGACTCCATTCCTTTTTGGAGTTAAAGGGGCTGTTAATAGGAGTACTGTAAAACACACCTGGCCTCTCTAGGACATTCAAAAGAAAAGTTATAGGCCCACAAAGGTGTAACTGGACTACTTCTTTAAAGTGACTCCAGTCCCGGTAACCTTTGGGACATGGTTTGACCGCCTTAGGAATGTGCTATCATCATGAAACATTCAGATCACTTACAACTCAATAGATTCTACCTTCCTGTAACGTTTTGGACTGACTGGACCTTGTTTTCAAACAAATGGACCCAGAATGATGTGAAATTGTGTTCGTGCAACATAATTCTGGGTGCCATTTAAATGCCATAAGTGCTAATGACTCCATTCCTTTTTGGGGTAATAGGGGCTGTTGATCGGAGTACCCTAAAACAAACCTGACCTCTCTGAGACATTCAGAAGCCAAGTTATAAGCCCCCAAAGGTGTGTTTAGAACGCCGCCTTTAAGGAACAAGTGATCCGGTGACCTTTATGACCTAACTTGACCCCCTTAGGAATGTGCTATCATCATGAAACACAGGAATCATTTACAACTCAATAGATTCTACTTTTCTGTGACGTTTCAGCCTGATTGAAGCTTTTTTCTGAGAAATGGACCCAGAATGATGTGAATTTGTGCTTTGTGCGACATAAATCTGGGTGCCATTTAATAACCATAAGGGCTAATGACTCCATTCCTTTTTGGGTTTATAGGGGCTGTTAATTGGAATACGCTAAAAGAAACGTGACCTCTCTAGGACATTCAGAAGAAAAGTTATAAGCCCACAAAGGTGTAACTGGACTACTTCTTTAAAGTGACACCAGGTCCGGTGACCTTTGGGACAATGGTTTGACCCCCTTAGGAATGTGCTATCATCATGAAACGTTCAGATCAATTACAACTCAATAGATTGTACCTTCCTGTAACGTTTCAGCCTGATTGGACCTTGTTTTCACAAAAATGGACCCAGAATGATGTGAAATTGTGCTTCGTGCAACATAATTCGGTACCACTTTACAATAAGGCTCCCTTATAAATGGCTAATAAATGGTTTCTAAATGTATTATTAATCCATCTATAATGTCTTATATATGACTAATTAATGTTTATTATGCATTAATTAAGGGTGAGAAAGAGACTAAACCTACTAATTTTTTGCCAAATAGTGAACCAAATCTGTTGACTTATGTACTTTATCTAGACTTCATATATTAAACATTTCAAACTAAGAACCTATCTTTTAAGCACTATTAGCATTTGTAAACACAGTTTTGGGCAAATAATTAATGTACCTTATAACTGCATTATAAATACTTACAATGATTAAAGGGAGCGCTATTGTAAAGTGTAAAACATGTCTTTATTTATTAATGATTAATTAACATTTATAAATACAAACTGGAGCCTTCTTATAAAGTGTAAAACATGTCTTTATTTATTAATGATTATTAATGATTAATAAACATTTATAAATACAACCTGGAGCCTTATTGTAAAGTGTAAAACATGTCTTTATTTATTAATGATTAATAAACATTTATAAATACAAAAGGGAGCCTTATTATAAAGTGCAAAGCATGTTTTTATTTATTAATGATTAATAAACATTTGTAAATACAAACTGGAGCCTTATTGTAAAGTGTAAAACATGTTTTTATTTATTAATGATTAATAAACATTTATAAATACAAACTGGAGCCTTATTGTAAAGTATAAAACATATATTTATTTATTAATGACTAATAAACATTTATAAATACCAAAAATTAGTCTTAAATGTTTAAATTTGTTAAACTTCAGAGTTACACTAAATGCTTAAAATATTTGTACAAACTATGTTAACTACTGTCAAAAATGGTCATGTATTGTAAGTGTAGCACATTTAACATCCAAACTCATCAAACACACCAAATACCCCCTCCCTAAAAAAAACTGTTGTAGAAGAGATTCAGGTTAAACTGGGAATGATTTCCATATGTCCTTGAATAAGCGTCCCAGTGGTCCATCAGGATGTTTTGAACCAAGCCAAGATGACCATTCGAGAACTTTAAGATGTTCCTCCAACAACATCTCTGTACGATTTCCTCTTAGTCTGCGAATATGTCCTTTAATTGTCATCCAAGCTCTTTCAATATGTTGTGTATGACTGCCCGAGTGAGGATCAACAAACCACCTGCTGTGATTTACTGTGTAATGTTTGTACCCCATGTTTGTCAAGACATTCTTGTAGGCTCTCCACTCATCACTGATATTGGCACTACCCGACTTAACATGCTGTCTGATCAGAGGAACAAGGTGACGCCTTGTTCGTTTCTCTACAAGTTTTAACACGAGCCTTCGCCTTTTGTCTTTCACTCCCATCAGTCCAAAGACCCATTTCTTTCTTTTCCAAGCATTTCCGAAGCGTCCACGTGCATACTGAAAATAAAAAAAGATTAAGGTTAAACAGAATATTTACAAAGTATATTCTTAAATGCAGTTTGCATCTTAACATTTTAATTGTATTGCTGTTATTAAAGTAAATTGTATTTTAACTTTATTAACAGCATGACAAAGATGTTGAATAAAAAAGCTGTTTTCTGTCATTCATTTCCTTTATGGATTAATTGACTACTTTTACAAACTTTAATTTTGTTAAATTCTGACTCAAGTGATTCAAATCATCATAGTAATTGATATAATAATATGTTTATTAACAGATTGTTTTTGTTTGGTTGTAACAGTTTTACTATATTGATTCTTAAATGTAATGGTAAAAACTTAAAACTTATATGTTTAGGGGACATGTTCAGATCTGGACTGATAATAACAAAGGGGTCTGAGAGTTTACAACCTTTCGCTGATGACGGAGACAGCTTTCATCCATAACCACAAATTCTTTGTGACCACCAAGACAGTGCCCTTTATTTACTCCGTGTCTTTCCATTGCACTGATGCAGACTTGTCGAATACGCTTTGCCATGGCACTTAATGTTTTGGAGCTGCCAGCCACATCATCATCAATCATATCTATCTGCCTGAGCCTGAGCCCTTGTGAAAATCTGCGACAGAAATGAAAACCAATCAAAACTCACTGAGGCCCTATTATTAACTGCTATTCCTGTTGACATTCATACACACAGGCTACCTGTAGATGAACTTCATCCAACTGAAAAGAGAAGATTTTGATTTCTCAAAGAGGGAGCCAGTTCTAATTGTTCTGGAGACTTTTCTATGACTTGCTCTTTTGCAGCACCTGAGAACAAACCAAAAAGTGAGGTAAATAAATGAACCTATAAACATTATCACAAAATTATATTAAAAAATAAATAAATATTGAGATAAAGTTAGCACTGTGTCTTGCTTTTAAAATTTGAAGGGCTGTTGCTCTATCCCCGACCTTCCTGAATGAGCCGAAAGCCACGCCTCCTAACGTGCACATGCAGGGAAAGCCGAGTCAAGTGAGAGAACATCTGAAATGCAGTGCTATTAGCCAGTGTGGTAGGCTTGCAGAAATTATTAGTTTAGCTGTAAAGCCAGGGGAGGGACTTAGGAGAAAAATAAAATATGAAAGATCACACTTTTTCTCATAGAACAAGGTCAGATGGTCAAAATTATTTTAACAATTCCAACTTACGTACCCTGCCTTTAATATCAGAATGTGATGTTAAATGTTCTACATTATCATGCATTCATACCACATAAATTGGTCTTTCTTCACCACAGATATCATTTTCATCTTATGGTGGCAAACAGGGCATCTCAGCTTCTTCTTTAGAAGGTGTTTCTTTTGCAGCCATTTAATCAGCCTCAGAGTCTTCTTTTTAGTTTGTTTTCCCTCTGTATGAGTGCACAACTTCATCCCAAGAGGCATTCTAGTAGGAAAAATTATAGATTTATTTAATTATATTATTACATTGAAATACTGGTATCTTCAGAATGTCATAGGTAAAAAAAGGTCACTGATATAGCAACAGATCAAGTCTTTGTATAATTCTTGAAGCATTCTTTGAAAAGTCAAGGAAAAATGTAAAACCATTAATTTGACCAAAAAATTCAACACACAAAAAAAAAATCAAGATATAAACATTTCTAGTTCCAGTTTATTTTACTTACTTAAAAAACACAGCACATACAGTTGCAAACTGTATTGCCTCTGCAATCTATTTGTGTTGTTTTTTTTTTTTTACAATACACAGCTCACCAGGAAGTAACACTTGCTAAATAAAAACCTGAATTTATAATTATGTTGACTTACTAAGAATGACCAAAAAAAGAAAGATAAATGGGTTTTTAATAAATATGTTAATTATCATTATTTATGACTACTCTTCCCTGCAAGCGAACTTGTAAATGCTGATAATTTTCAAAGAAAAATGTAAAAATGGCTAACACAACAGGAACAAGAATATTTAGTTAAGTTAATACAAAACATGCTACATTTACACAAAACATTTTCATTCTTAAAAATGATTTTTCTTCATCAGCTAAAGTAATATTTAAAAGTGAATTATAATTAAAAGAACAACCCTGCATACAAAAAATAAAACAATTTGCTCACCTCTTATAGTGCATTGGACTCAGTTATGAAGCGTTTCCCGCTGGATTTTTAGGTTGCATATGAAAACTAGCCATCGTCGCGCCAAAGGGAATAAAACGAAAATTAGCCATACAGAGATGAGCTTAGTGCAAACATCCAATCACAGTGAATCTTAATACGGAAGTCCCTCCCATCGGTGTGCGTCGGAGCTGAGGTGGATCCACCAGTCAAACCGACACGGACTGACGCTAGCTAGCTACGGCAGCGCCATGGATGGACCTGAAGAGAAAGATTCCTGTTCCACTGCGACACCTGCGGTCAGCACGCGTTCAAAGAAAAACAAAAAGCAGCGACTGGATAACGTTAACACTAAACCAACGCTGTCAACAGAGAAACGTGATGGTGAGGAATGTTTTAATGCTAACAATGAACCATTTGGCTGCTACAGTGCCTAGCTATCTCTGGTACTATTAATTATTACGAAAGTGAAACCTCACAAAGTTTTATATTTTGTAATAGTTAGTAAATGTATATACATTTATATCATTATGAATAACCCCAGTGTGGTAACATGGAGGAATAATTTATTTTGTTCTGGAAGTGTCTGCTCTACAACAGGTGTTTGTCTCAGAACTTTTTTTACATTTGTATTGTTACCATTTAAAGTAGATATTTTTGTTTCTGCTGTCATTTAGTTTGCCTAGTTTAGATTTGAGATTCTGCTACTGTTGTTAATGTGTGTCTAAATTTTGTTTTTTTTAGATACTTCTTCTGGCCTTGCCCCTACTGCAACTGTGCTTCTTAATAAGGAGAGACAGGAAGTTGCTTTTCTTAAGGAGAAGCTGGAGTGGCAAAAGATGAGAATTGAAGAACTGGAAGGAGAGAGGGATTTCCTCCGAAGTCAGCTATCATCTCTGTCAAGTATGACATTAAACTAGTTTCATAAACATTGTTTAATTTTAGATTATTGTGATAAAAATCTGATAATTTATAAATATACATGAAGATCCCTTATTGTCACTGTGTTGATAAAAAAATAGTTACTCTTTGGTGTTATGCCAGTTAACTCTTAAAAATAACTTGTTCTAATTGGGTTTAAACCTATTGATTAATTAATTGGCATGTATTATGCCATTACCTATTATCTGTTTATTATCTGTTTTCTTACAGTTGTCTGTGCTCTCACGAATAAATACATTTTCATTTACATACTTTAATAATTAATTTAAAATACACATTTCGACATCAAAGTGTTCATTTAGATGGTTTGTAGTTGTGCCACTTTATCTCTTAGTACCAGCAACTTAGTTTTCCCCTTTTTCTCCTTTAAACACCACGGTAATAGGTAATTACTGCCAATTATTGACATTTAATGTTGTATTGGACAACAACACTCAGTCATTATACTGTTTTATTATTCTATAGTCTACAAAAATTAGATTTGCCCAGCCACATGTATATTATTTCACTCAGAAGGGTGCATCATTCTCATTCTGTCAAAGCACATAAGCTGACAAAATCATCCATTGTGTAATGAAATGAAATTGGCAGCTACTTTGCATGTTTGTTTCACTCTGTGTTACCTGATATGTGTTAAAAAAAATTCTAAATTCATCCATTTTTTTCTGCAGCGCAACCTAAAGACGAACCATTAAATGATACGTTTATCAACAATCCTTCTGAAAACTTGGATTCATCTTCCACATCTTCATCTGCATCATCTGAGTGGTCATCCTCATCCTCATCTTCACCCCCAAAGAAGCAAAAGCGCAAATTCAAAAACAAGCATTCAAAAGCCAAGAAATACAAGAAGGAGGAAAAGAAGTTCCGTCAGCGTGGTGAGCAAAATACTTATATTCAGAAGATATGTAGCCTGGCCTGCCAGACTCCTCCTCTGTTGAATTCTGCACAGAGAAAGAGTCTGGTAACTCTCCTATGTAAATAACCCCACCCAAATGAAAATGCTAACCAAACCAATCATCACTGAGCAGCGTATGTCACACACACAGTGAAGCTCAAATTCTCATAAACAATTATGTCTGAAGCGGAGTTCACCGCGGCTCTTTCCTCTGTTGTAAATGACTTGGACATGTCTTTGAAACCACAACAAGAACCGCTAAAAATCTTTCTTCTAAAGAAAGATGTTTGCGCCATTACCAGGCTCCATTTTTTACTACAGCTAAAAAAACTACTGCGTCACATGGTACAGTTGGCATTTCCACTTTTTTTTTTTTTTTGATTGGTCATTTTTGAGCTGGCTAATCCCGCCCCTCATGTGCCTCTCTGCCTGTGAGTTACCAGACTCTCTGTGCAGAAGTCTAGTCTGGCAGGCCAGGCTAGAAGATATGTTCTTTGGAGATAAAATTACCATTTAAACATTTTCTTCAAACTACATTGTATTTGACACCAAACTTGAATATAAGGTTTGGACTGATGCGCATTTTTAGAAATGCATACACACACACACACACACACACGTATATGCATGTGTGTGTGTAAATTATAGTAACAGATTGTATTGTGTGCCATGAGCATTTGTTTCTAACAGTTTTCTTTGTTTTAATTTGATTCTCAGTCCGAACACCAAGTGAGATTGTGCAGAGATACAAGTCCCTCCTCAAGACATTTCCAAAGATGAAGACCTTGTCCAAAGCTTTTCAGAAGCATGGGATTGACAGAAACAGAGTTGTGTCCACGGCATCAGTTGCTGAGCTCGCTATCGCAGCTCCTCTTGTTTACCAGGAGCTGATCTCCAACAAGCCCAGTGGAGAGACGGTACTCCATTTTGCTAAGCGATGTGAGGAAGAGATTCAAAGCAATGATGAAGTGAAAAACAAAATAGAAAGCATGAAGGCTGATGGATCTTTGCTTCCAATTCGAAGAGGCAAGTCTGTCTGAAAGCCTACTCAGTTATCTGACTTGTTCTGTTTCAGCATATTTAGCTATAGAACAGATGTGTGTGAAACTGGTAATTTTTTAACGATCTGTTCAGTTATGTGTTCAGTTTCCACACAACAAAGATTTTTCTTGTCATTTTTGTTTAGAAGGTTTTGTGTGTCCTAAGTGTAACCAAAACAACTGCACATGTTAAGATAGAGTATTGTCTAATGTTATAAGGCAGCTTGTTATACTTTTCATAGTAAGGCCCCTAGTCTTCAAAAAGTTTACTGGTTATAAATAATTGTTAACTAGTTTCATACTAAAAAAGTTTCATTTTACATTTAAAAATGTTTAAGAGTCATTAATAAACACTGATATGTTTTATACTTTACAATAAGGCTCCCTTTTGTAATTATAAATGTTTATTAACTATTAATAAATAAAGACATATTTTACACTTTACAATAAGGCTCCAGTTTGTATTTATAAATGTTTATTAATCATTAATAAATAAAGACATGTTTTATACTTTACAATAAGGCTCCCTTTTGTAATTATAAATGTTTATTAACTATTAATAAATAAAGACATATTTTACACTTTACAATAAGGCTCCAGTTTGTATTTATAAATGTTTATTAATCATTAATAAATAAAGACATGTTTTACACTTTACAATAAGGCTCCAGTTTGTATTTATAAATGTTTATTAACTATTAATGAATAAAGACATATTTTACACTTTACAATAAGCCTCCCTTTAATCATTGTATTTATAATGCAGTTATAAGGTACATTATTAGTTGCCCAAAACCTTGTTTACAAATGCTAATAGTGCTTAAAAGGTAGTTTCTTAGTTTGAAATGTTTAATATATGAAGTCTAGATAAAGTACATAAGTCAACAGATTTGGTTCACTATTTGGCAAGAAACTAGTAAGTTTAGTGTCTTTTTCACCCTTAATTAATGCATAATAAATGTTTATTAGTCATATATAAGGCATTATAGATTGATTAATAAGACATTTATAAACCATTTATTAGCCATTTATAAGGGAGCTTTAATGTAAAGTGGTACCCATAATTCTGTGTGCCATTTAAAAAACATAAGTGCTAATGACTCCATTCCTTTTTGGGTTTATAGGGGCTGTTAATTGGAGTACACTAAAAGAAACATGACCTCTCTAGGACATTCAGAAGAAAAGTTATAAGCCCACAAAGGTGTAACTGGAGTACTTCTTTAAAGTGACACCAGGCCCGGTGACATTTGGGACATGGTTTGACCCCCTTAGGAATGTGCTATCATCGTGAAACATTCAGATCACTATCAACTCAATAGATTCTACCTTCCTGTAATGTTTCGGCCTGATTGGACCTTGTTTTCACACAAATGGACCCAGAATGATGTGAAATTGTGCTTTGTGTGACATAATTCTGGGTGCCATTAAATAACCATAAGTGCTAATGACTCCATTCCTTTTTGGGGTTATAGGGGCTGTTAATTGGAGTATGCTAAAAGAAACGTGACCTCTCTAGGACATTCAGAAGAAAAGTTATAAGCCCACAAAGGTGTAACTGGACTACTTTAAAGTGACACCAGGCCCGGTGAAATTTGGGACTTGGTTTGACCCCCTTAGGAATGTCCTATCATCATGAAACGTTCAGGTGACATTCAACTCAATATATTCTACCTTCCTGTAA